CGGAAGAGCTTATCACCAGACCTAGAGTGTTCTTTTTATAAAAGAGAAAAAAAATCAGCCGAGATACAGAACAGTAACCCGTTGCATATATTGCAGGTAGAGATAAGAGGAGGGAATCGTTTAAACATGCAAGTTTTCCCATAAAGAAGACAGACAAAGACGCTACAACCTCTTCACAGAAAAATGCATCCAATAAATTTGTCTGCCAATAATTCTGATTCTTATCGGAGACTGCAAGAAAACCGATAAATATCAATGCAGGCTGCAAAACAAAACTGTGTTTAACGTGGTGGAACAAAGTCTTGATAGTGACCATAAAACTAAAAACCAATGAGAACCCATCTGCCCCCTGGCTTTCTCAATCAAAATTCCTTCCACAAATTAAGAAAAGTCGAAAAAGAGAGCATGCATTAGAATAGAACCCAACATACAAATTGAAAAACGGGAAACACGCTTTTTCAGAGGTCATGTCATTACAAAATCTATCATCAAAAGATCGAGATACCTTACCAGTTTTACCAGAAGCCTCCTTGGATCCATAACGATCTTCGCCATCACGAAATTTCTCACCTTTCCCTTCTCTATCCTTCCTATCACGGTCTCGGTCTCGACCCTTCTCTAATTCTCTGCTTTCCTTTCGACTAGACTCTCTATGCTTCCCATCAGTCTTAGAACCACTTTTCTTCGTCTCCTCGCCCTCTCTCCTCCTACTCTTCTCACTAGAAGTCTTAGAGTTCTTCGAAATCTCCCCTCTATCCTCATCTCCGCCAATCCACCCACCACTAGCACCGTCGTCTTCGGTATTCTCTTTGCGGCGTTTCGAGGAAGTGTACTCGTGATAATACTCGCCGTTTAAAGAATCATAGTACTCCTTGTTATCAAGCTTGTGTTTGTCACCAGAACCCGATTCCTTCGAAACCCTAGCACTACTCCTCTTCTCTCTCAAAGTAGATTCTTTCTCCGAATCAGAGTACTCCCTCGCATCCCTAGAACTATGCTTGCTCGATTTATGCCTCGAACTCCGAGGCATAGCCGGAAATCACTGAACGCCCTAACGAACCCAAAGGCGAACCGAACACAGGGAAAAATTCAACACCCTAGCGAGCAACCTCTATCACCGGAAAACCTCAAACTGCGACACTGAGGCACTCGATAAAATGATGATTCAATCATCAAAATGGAGGAAACATAAACACTAAATCGATACGCTAGACCAAGATTCAGGCCTTGAGCGCAAGGACTGTCGCAAACCCTAGTAGAACCAATACATACTCCATGGATGAGAAATGGCGATCAGAGACAACAGATCGCCGGAAAGTCCACCGGCGGCGGGGAGAATGGTACAGAGATTCAGGATAAATGCTGAAAATGAAGACGGGAAAAAAAAGTGGCCGTGCGAACTATGATTTCCTTTCATTTGACGAGAGGGAAGACTTGGGGATAATTCCTATAACATAATGACGATATTGCCCTTTATATATCCAATTTATTACGGATATGCCCTGATTATGCGCTCGATCTCGAGAATCGATAGTTTTCACCGGTTAATCAGAGTACCGATCTAGTGGGCTTGTTTGGTGTTTTCTCGTCGTCTATCACCCAATAATATGTCGCCACGTCATACGGCTCGATGGTGTTGGACCAGTTGATTTAGATATTACAATGTGCGTTGTGTGCTGAATGATCTATTGATTAAAGCCCATTTATTAAAGGCCCATTGGGCCTATTGCTGAGCAATTTACTATGGACTCGTGGGTTTAGTTTAAGCTAATCCAACCCATTTTATTATACTCCAATTTAGTAATGATTAAATTTTAAGGTTGGATTAAATAGATTAGATTGTTTGAACTTTGAAGTGGTCCAATTTATACTTATAACATACCGGAGAGTTTCACATTTTTTTTATATAAATCGTGAAAAATAAACTCACACGATATTACATTAAAAAATTTCCAAACTTGAATGAAAAAAAATTACATTAGTTTTTTTTTTATAATTTTATCATCGTCAAACCAATCACATATACATACATAATCATTTTAAATGCTAAATATATATTAGAAAATTTGATACTAGATATATATATTTCACAAAGAAGATAAACGTTCTGACGAGCTGTCCCCATCATCCACGACCACGACCAACCAAACGCGGACGTGAAACAAACGCTGCGATTTGCGTATGCATGAGACGCTGCCGCTATGGCGTTTGCGGTTGTCAGCGACCAAACCAAATAAAAGAATGGTGATGATGTGAAAGAGATAAATTAGCATTAAACTAAAGAAAAATGAACGAGTCGTCGTCGTCGTCGTCGCCGAGTTTTGGAATTATTTTGTGTTCAGTGACTCGTTTGTTTAATTTCCACATTTGGATTTATGATTAATGGTATCGTGGTCCAATGAAATCGCATTCGTCAAGTCAAATTCCCATCCTCTTTACTGCTCTTTTTGCTTATTTTTTTTTGTCTTTTCCCTTTATTTTATGGAAAACAATATACGGTAAACCTCTAGGGTCGAATGGCGTATATTTCGGTTTCCGCAATATTTTGATTCAACTATTTTTTATTTAATTGTTTTGGTTTCTTAAAATTATACCATTTAATTCTATATTTTAAAATTCAATTTTAGCAGTCAATTTCACTTCACATTCGTCTACTTCAATTCAAATAAATGTTTTCCAATTCAATTCGGTTTTAATCGAAATGTGTATCCTAATTATATGTATACATACATATTAGATGTATTCATTCATATACACTTATAAATATCTATTAAGAACATTTGAATCCAAAAATGTTAAGAGATAAATTAAAACCTATATAAACCTATCTAGAATATGGATCTTGTTCATAAATTATACTAACCCTAAAGCTGAGAAGATTATAATTAAGGTAGCTTGACCAGTCTAAAGCAATCTGGTCCAACAATCTTTGATTAGCCATTCATTCCATTAGAATATTGATTTAATAATATATTAAATTAAATTCAGATATGTTAGTGAAGTCTTTCGTAGCATGATGTGCCAGACTTGGTTTTGCATCTTCTGTCATGGAAGAGTTGACTTTTCAACGTCTCTGTCATTATTGCATACGGTAATGTTTTGAATCTTTTGATTAACCATATATATATACATATGATCAATCTATTATTTTAGTTTGTAAAGATATATTTCATTTACATATGATTCAAATTCAAACATTTTTTTTATATCATCAAATTATCTAGAGTAAGATTTTTCGTTTTTTACAAATAAAATATAAAATATAGTTAGCGTTAAAGTATTCATGTGAAAAGTAATAACAATAATAACTGTCAAACAAAAAATTTAAAAAAAGATTAATTCTAAAAAACCATCAACTACTTAATTTACTGAAAATTCTTTTATTTTACATTCTTTTATAAAATTCACCAATTATTACTTTTAAAATAATCATCAACTACCTAAATTACTAAAAAAAAAAATTATATCTTAACTTAACTATAAAAATCCATCGATCTTTAGCTTTGAAAAAAAAACATATTCCTTTAAAAAGTATATATCATCTCTTATATATATATATACAATATATGGTATTTCATTTATTAAATGTCTTTATAAAAAATCAAATTTATTGTTTATAACATCTCAAATGTTTAATAGATCATAAAATCATCAAATACATACATATATATATATATATATGAATTCAATCTGTAAAATATATTTGATTTTAAATATAAAATTTGTATAAATAATATAAAAGATGATACATATAAATTATAAAATTTTAATTATAACAATAAAAATTTAATGTTTATAAAAATTACAAGTATAATAATATAATAAATTTGTATGCATATTTAGTTTTTTATCAGGACATTTAGAATTTTATAATTTATATATAGTTTAAATTAAAAATTGATAGATTTTTATAATAACTTTAAAGTGAAGTTTTTTTTATTAAGTTACATAATTGATGGTTCCTTATTTAAAAATGAAAATTAATAGATTTTTTATAACAAATTTAAAATAGATTTTTTAACAAGTTTAGATCATTTATGATTTTATTAATATAAAATTAATTATTGATCGATTTTACAATAAATATAAAATAAAATGTTTTTAAAACAAATTATATAATTGATGGGTTCTCTTTTCAATTCTTAAACAACATCCTTGTCCAATTGCATATAAGAATCTCTTACAAATTCTTCCTCGCTAGTTTAAAAAAAAATCAACAATGGATTCTACAAAAACCATAACTTTCTCTCTCCTAGTTTTCTCTCTCTTAATCCCAGCGAGGACCTCCGTTACATGCAATAACGCCGGTTGCCGACGTGGCGACCCGGTGATCCGTTTCCCTTTCCGGGTCAAGGCTCGACAACCCGAATCATGCGGCTACCGCGGCTTCGACTTAACGTGCGATAACGCGGATAACGCCACAACCATATCGCTACCGTCGGGAGATTTCACCGTCGAACAGATCGACTACGCGGCTCAGGAGATTTGGATAAACGACCCCGACAACTGTCTCCCTCAACGGATCCTAACGCTGAACCTCTCGACGACGCCGTTTAGTAGCGTTTACTCGAGGTCCTTCAGTTTCTTCAACTGCTCAACTTCAGACTATCTCCGGTTCCGGCCGTTGAACCCCATAGCGTGTTTGAGCAGCGAAAACAGCACGGTGTTCGCCACCGCTTCGCCTAGGGTGGTTAATTTCTTGTCACAGACGTGCCGTTTTGTGAAAAGAGTGGATGTTCCGGTTTTGTGGGGGTTTGACGAGCAGATTGCGTCGTCGGACCTGAGTGAAAACCTCTGGCTGACTTGGCGGGTCCCGAGATGCCGTGGATGTGAGATCAGAGGAGGTCGTTGTGGGCCTAAGAGTAATTCCACCCCCGAAATCGTTTGCTCTAATGTTCCCAAGTCAGGTAAATTCTCTATTTCTTTTTTTTTTTTCACTCTAAGCAAAAAATCATATATAACATATATATATATATATATATATATATATATATATATATATGTGTGTGTGTAAACAACAAAAAAATTAAGAAAGAACAACTAGATTATGTGCATGAAAATGCTAAAAATCATAAGGTGGTATATTGATAACACGTATCATAATCATATAATCGGTAGTTCATAGATGTGTGTTATGGCTGGTTTTTGGGG